TGTACCCAGGCAGAATATAACATTCAAACCCACGCTCGTTCCTTGTGGAGCAGAAACTGTCAGACACTGCATCATCTTGCTTCAAAGACAGGAAAAAGTCTCCTTCTTCCTCAGAGGAGAGTTACCTGTGGCACATTTTGCTTTGTATTTGCTTTGCCTATTATTGCATCAGACGATGAATGCTCATATACAAATGCGCTAGTTCAGTAATTCCTCTGATCCCATCAGGTGCTCCTGTGACAGGTGCTTTGCAGCCCTACTCTCCAAAGGGGCGCAAGGGGAGACAACATTTCTCTGAATGTTTCTCTAAGAGAATGGGTAGACAAGGAAAACTTTCTAGCTTCACAGAATTTATTGGAATGACCCAGATTTTAAATGTGTTTAAAATCTCTGTGCCACTGTCTAGTAATTCAGCAGAGCCTTCTCCTGTAGCAAATATATTTTTTCAACAGGAAAAAACTTTTTCTTGCCCTTCTCCCCCAACCACTTCACTGGCAACTGGTGGGACAGGTGTGTCTGAGGTAAGGTGTTAATTTGGAAGACAAACTGTTTCTAACTTTGAAAAGACTACTGCAGTTACAATACCTTCTTCAATTAGCAGGTTTTATAATGTCTGATGATAGGATTCCTTTGTTATTGTTTATCCCAGAGACCCTCAGTGCTCCAAAGAACAATGTAACAGTGCCATTGCTGATGCCTCTCATTACCTTGATGGAGCGACAAGCCGCTGTTTTTGAAGGCATGGACTTGTGGGAAAGCAGTGACCAAAGCTGTGAAATAATGCTCAAGCACTTGGCCACAGCTCGTCAGATAGCACAGAACGCAGAAATGTACAGCCTGACTGCGGAACGGATGCTGGAAGGTAGGGAGCACTAGGAGGAGAAACTGCTGCTCATTAATGGATTGTGTGGGTTACGTCGGAAGAGTAAGGTCTCCACCTAAGTGCCACTAAAAGTCAGTGCAAGATATTCTTCTCCTCTTTCATGGGAGCTGAGATAGTAGCAAATGTCCTGCAGGAAACAGTCTGAGGACATGATCAATATTGTTTAAAAGCAGACAGGAAATTATTCATCGCTATGCATTTTTGCTAAACATACTCAAAAGTTCTCATGACTTAACATGCTGATATGCTGGCTCTTCCAGTAACTGCACAGAAGTGCAATAAGGATGGAGGAGAATTTCCTGTCTTCTGTACAATGTAAAATTCCTACTCTGAGTTTTGCAAAGTTTACAGCAGTGCAAGATGCAACACTCGGATCGTGACTGCTTGCAGCCAGAAAGCAGCAACATGTTAATAGTGTGACTTTTTATTTTAAACTTGCAGTGAAAGGCGAGAATAATGTCCTTCTGCAGGCAGCATGTATCATCAGTCATTACATTGAAGGACAGGCTATAGTGACAATTCTACACCATCAGAATTGAGCTCACAATAGCCTGTCCCAGTGTCCCTAGAGCCACTGGTGTGCTACTGGAATGTCACAGGTGAAAGTGATTTTTACCACTTTACTAGCTTGTTAAAATCATTGTGCAAAAGGAACCCCGCACACTAAAGCTTATCTTATTTAGAGGGAATACAATTTAAAAGCCATTCCTTCTGAATAAAAAACACTTGGTGATATTGTGGGATTCTTTTTACTTACTAGGTTTCCAGCCAGATGAAGAGATGAGTGAAATCTTCAAGACAGAATTTCAAATGAGATTGCTCTGGGGCAGCAAAGGAGCACAAGTTAATCAAAATGAAAGATATGAGAAATTCAGCCAGATTTTAACTGCACTTTCCCGAAAACTGGAACCTCCTCCAGTGAAGCAGGTGGAACAATTAAGTATATAAAACTCTGTAAACATTATTTAAATTGTATACTTGAAATAACCTTAGCTTTCTTTTGGCAATTTGATACTGCACAAACTTCTTTCACAAGATGTTTAGAACTTTTAACTGCAAAATGCACACTTGTTTTAAAACTACTGACTTCTAAACAAATTATTTATTTACTGTGTTACCAAGTCATTTAATGATCCCTTTAAACAGTTAGCTTATCCTTGTAAGATAGCCATGCAGCTTTCTCTGTTTCCTCAGAGTTGTAATGTTTTGGTAATGCCTAGGAGTAAGGGCATTGGCATTTTAATATTAAAATGAAGCAAATAGTGTAAATAAAATGACAGATTAATATGTGACATTGCAGAAAATTTGTTGTTTAATATTCCTTTAGTGAATATAAAACACTGTACATAGAATTGTGAATTAAAGTGTATATTTATGCACAATAATTTGCATATTTGCAGACTACAGAAATACTGCAGGTTGCAGAAATGATCTGTGACCCCAACAGAAGGTTCAAATATCACTGCACCTATGGAAGTAGGAAATTAGTTGTATATGTGTTGGGATAACTTACTTGTTTTTTTCTAAGACAGCATCTGTAATACTTTGGCTTTTGCTGGAGCCTGCACAACAGCTACACTGCAAGGAATGAATGATGAAATGGCAAGAACAAACAATCTAGATAATTAAAATGCTTTCAGATATGAGTGAGTGTATGTATATATTAAACTTGCTTCATTTACTGAGGTGAATCACTTTGGTAAGTAGCGGCTTTTTTTTTCCTTAGATGAAGGCAAAGCATAAACTGTTAGCACTTTTCATGGGAAATCAGTGTGCATGGTGTTTAAATTTAGAGTGCTTTAGCCGCAAATGCCACTTTGTCACATGCAAAAATGGTGTATAAGCATTATCCTCAGAAGCTGTATAAATATTTAAGCAAGAACTATGGTTAGAGCTGCACGTGCTCGTTGTCAGCAAGCCTCTTTCTGGAGTGAGATGTTACAGCATTTGAAGTATTTGAGTAGGCCAACAAGAAAACACCAACACCAAAATGGTAGTATCTGTTCCCCGCATCTACAATTGTAGCAAAGGTTCTGCCACCATAACAACAGGTTACAGACCTCACCCTGAAAGTCTCCCTGTCAATCTTAACAGAAGACAAATGGGGAAGCTAATTACTTAGGCCACAAAAAGATTTTTTTATTCCATGAAAATATTCTCAACAGAGAACACTATTTTTAAACAAAGCATTTAACATTTAGGAAATCAACATGTGCACAAAAAAAATTAAAAATTTACTGGAAAATGTAAGATTCTTTAAGACAACTCACATTCAGAATTTTAGAATAAGTGATTTATAACTAACTGTGCAAGTACAAATGTTTTTTTCCTATGTTTAAGAACCCTCATACAAGTTGCACTATCCCTCATGAAAACAACCTGCCTCCAAAGGAAGCAAATCCTGGTTTTAGAAAAACAAACAGTAGCATGAAAAGAACATTTCGTCCTTTACCAGGAAGTGTTACTACTGACCTGCAAGGCTGTTAGGCAAACCACAGGTCCTTTAGCAGAACATACACAGATCAAAGTTCCTCCTTTTCTCTAACTTTAAAATAAAGAAGCACTAGATTGGGGGGGGGAAAAAAACCACCAAACAAAAAAGCAACAAACCCAAAACAAACAACAACAAAAAACCCCAACAACCCCCCAAAAACCCCCAAACCTAAAAAACTACCTAAGTAGTTTTGTCAGTATTGAGTAATGTCACATTATTATATAAATAACCCTGTATACAAGCTCCAAAAATCTAAACTTTAGAGTTTAATAGCCCCCATAATACACTAGGTCAAGCTGTGTAATAGTGGTATACATAACAAAAGGAATAAACCTCTACACAAGTCACTTGAATTCAGTTTTACTGGTAGTACAGTTCCTAATAACACTGAAATTAAAAAGAATCCAGCACTGCTGCATCCAAATATTGCTTCAGACCCCAGGAAAACAGGATCTTTTGATGATTTCATTTCCCCCAACAGCAGGTGGCTGGGTTGATGAGTTTGCTTCGATACAAGTATCCCTCCCCCCAACATCTCTAGTCTAATTCTTATCACCCTAATAAATCAGCTATCATGTATTTATTAATAGAACCACAAATGGGAGGCAAGACAACATAAGCAATAGGGGCACTGCAGACAACTATATTTACATGTATAAACATATCCAAATTTCAATTGTTTACAAGTAAAAGTGCACATAGATCATTACGAAGTATCACTCAAATTTCAACTGGTCCATACAATGAAGCATCACCTGGAAATGGACTAGCACTGCAGTAATTAAAATTGGAACTTCATAGTGAAAAACTAAAAGACAATTTCCATAAAAATATTTTTAAAAATATTGAAGTCAAATGAAGAGATACACGTTTCTATGTATAAAACTCATGATGCACCATGTATCCAGTAAAGTAGAGCTCTAGAAAACACCTACCATGGCTACCTCAGCAGCTGCAGCACTGTGAAAAGAGCTGAGACACAAAGCCCTTTGCGGGATACTGTAGGTGGTGGTGTTGGCAAACAACAGATTTAGGCACTCGAGTTTAAGGCAGCATTTGAATGGCAAGTGGTTGACTTCCAATAACAGTCATTAGCGCTTCAGTGGTGAATCTCTCTGGTGGTGTTCCAGGTTTTCAGTGCTCACAACAGGTTACTGAAGTGCTGAAGGTGGACCACAGTTCTAAGAGTTTCTCTTGATTGCATTGTAGGCTAGAGCTGAGATGTATTATTTCCCCAAATAAACACAAACAGATTATGGTCTCTTATCAGTTATGCCAAAAACGGGAATGCAATGATGGTTGCAGTGGTATAGTTATAGCAGCATACATGGATACTGGGATGAAACTCTAGTGCTGAAGATATTTAAACAAAATAATGATTTGTTACAAAATAAGACAAGCAACGATGGCAAAGTGTTATGCAGACATGCCTGAGTGTCCTAGGCATGCAGGAGGAGGTTAACGGCGAGCATGGAGGTGGCACAGGCAGACTGATAACTGACGTATGGTTCTAAATGACTGCCAATTAAAATCAATTGGAAAAGAGCTTAATTGAGATAACCGAAACACAGCACAAGCTGTGCATGTGGGACAACCTAGGACAATGAAAATAAAGCAATTTTAGGAGCAGTAGCCTTGTTACTCCAGTAATGGAACTCTAGTTTCCTGCACAAATTGAAGAATTTGTAATACGTCCTTACCTATGTATGGAGATGCTAAAATGTTAGTGACTAAATGTATGTCTGCATGCACTCATGCAACTAGCTTTCCCCTTGGGCCTCCCAGTCTAGCACCCCACCCCCACCCACCCCCCCAGCAGCTGCATGTAACCTCCTTCAAGATCTCGCCCATTTTCTCAGAAACCCGCTTCAGGAACCTGCAGTCCAAGAGGAAAAAGAAAAGAACAAAGTTACTGAAGGCCTTTAGAAGACAGAGAAGCGTGCTCAGTTCTAGCAGGCCATTCTCAGTGGCTGTACATTAGCCTTGTACTTAACTCCACAAACTCTCATTAGAAATATGAGCCACAGCTTTTAGATTAGCTTTTTTCCCCCCCTACTAATCAAATAGTGCATGCAGTTTCCAGTCCTCAGTGATTTAACAGTGAGGGGAATTCCTGTACATTTAAGACGTTGATTTCAAACTAAACATGATGCAATTCAAAGACTTGGCTTACAGGCACAGATTAAGAGTATAAAATCATTCCCTTTTCAGGAGCAGAGAGAAGTTTCAGTAAGACATCAAGCATTACATGTGGTCTCTTTTTTTGTTTGTTCAGGGTATCTGGAGTTAAAACAATGAAGTTGTGTCCAATACACAACATTCTACATTACAAGTACTGAAAAGGAAGGAGAGAGACAGGTCAGTGGACTTTCTGTCCTCAATCATAATGTTTTTTCCTGAGTAATTTTGTTGAGCTTTCAGAATCAGAAAACATCTTCCTGTTTAAGAAGTGAAAGCTGCCAAGTATTTGCTAAGGAAGGAAATTAATAATTTTCAGTAACTGAGTTCAGTTAGTTATTACAGGAAAAAACCCTCTTTATATAGCATATAGTTTAAGTCATAAAAGTGGGAGCAGTAAATCTTAGACATCTTGAAAGCCAAGTAATTTTTCAGTTCTCTGTAAAACCACCAAAACCTTCTATAGAACAAGCAGGAATCCTGGTATTTTTCACTTTAATAGCTACATTGGATTTAGTGCTTTGTAAAGCAGGAACACTAGATCAGTTAAACAAAGCAGAAGACATTCGTCAAAACCACAGACCACTGTAAGACACGTAATTTAATGCGGTCATCTCTGGAAAAAAACCTATAACAAACTCACACTGCAACAACAGACTATTCCTGACTTCTGATATTCTAATGCTTTCCATGAACCTGTGTAACTTACTATTTTTCCACTATTTTCCCTGGAGAATGTACAACTGAAAGCTGCCAGTTTACTGTTAGATATAGGTTACTGCACCTTTGCTGTTTTTCTCTAGCGTTACATCTATATATGATGTTGGCACATAGCCTTCCTCTCCGTTATGTCTTCGAGCTCTTGTCCACCCATCTCCTTTGTCCTCCTCAATAATGTACAAAATTTCTCCTTCTTTCATTGCTAGAGTGCCTTCATTATGACCTGGGAAAAACAAGAGGCAAAGAAGTCTCAATGTTCAGAGAGAATTTCAAGTAATCTTTTTCCCAGGGCATAGTTTCCAGATTATATATAAACAGGAAGAATCAAAAATGTGTGCAAGAGAACATATGGCCAAACAGGCCTACAGACAAAAACCTAGTCCAATTTGTAAAGCTGAGTATTTGCCAATAGTTATGCTAATATTTATCTTAAACCAGTACAAAAGTACTGTTCATGAATGGAAGTGATTTATAAAATATTTCCACTGATCTTATAAGCAACTAGTTGTTCTACAATTAATTTACTTTAAATCATTTTACACATCTTCTCTATAACAAATAATCAATGTCTTATAGTCAAGGAATCACATGCATGTTGTTAACCTTACCATCAAACGGATATATTGCCTTGCAATGTCCTATAGCTGGTAACGGATCATCATCTTCAAACTCATCATCAAACTCATTTGGATGTGCATGTTGCTGTGGTGGGCTTCGAACTTCCTGATTTGCATCATCCGTGTAACTCCCTTCAGGGCTAGAATGCAATGACGGGAGCGTGAGGACTCCAGAATCGGAGTTCTTAGTTCTCAAACTCAGAGCACACATGCATCACAGAAAGGGCAGACCACAGATACCGCTCTGGGAATGCCCGTTAGCAGTTTTGGTATTTACTGCTGGAGGTCATTTTCTGAAAATACGGATCTAACAAAGGCTTGGATGGAATTCTGCCACAAAAACAAACATAAATTTGACATACGTGTCTCTACAGAACAAGGAAAACAGGTGAGCCTTACGCAATGGAGTAAGATAGCTTTAAAAGGCACTGCTGTTTAAGGAGCGGGCATTTCAGTCAGACTATTTTTTATGTTACCATAATGACATGAAGTGACCTCTAGAATTCAGAGCCAGTTAAGATTTCCCTTTAGAAAGCAACAGAAGTGTCAGAGGTTAAGTAACAACCATCACCTACTGCTAACTGTCAAAAAGATGTACTGATTCTAGCACAAGATACAAAAGCAACAGAGACAGAATAGTGACCTCTCTCTGCCCTGTGTCACAAGGTGGTTGATATCACTGCTGTGCCGCCTGTCACTTCGGGCTGCTACTTTACCTTCAACCTCAGAGAGCCAGGCCTTGGGGAAAAAAAAATAACAAATATTGGTGTCAAAGAAAAACGGTACTTGCTGGTTTAGAATCAAGTTAAAAGCACTGAACTGCCTGCAGTCTACTGGTCAGTACACAGCCACACAGAGACTGCATTCACTTGTGAAGTCTCGTCGTTACTTCACATGCAGCCTGAACCTGTCCCTCATGTTTAGCCTATATCCTCCATGCTAGTCTTAAGGAAAAAAATAATCTTTAATCACATACAAATTTCAGTATAAGTGATTAGTAAGAAATGCTTCTGAACAGTTTACATCTTTAATAACGTACATCCTTATTCTAGCTAGATGAACATACTTGAAAATTAGGCGCTCCAGAAAAAAACTGTATTAGGAGCGCACTTTCTTAAATCAGGTAGCTTTTCTGGGCGCTATATTTATAAGCCATAAGGCAAACTACAGTTTTACCTTTTACAGTTTACATTTTCCAAGGAATTGTTTGAGAGTCTAACCTCATTCTTGTGTATTTCCATCCGAAGACGGTCCATGTTGTTCATAGTCTCAGTTAATTTCGGTTGCAAACTGCCTGGATCACCCATCTGGGGATTTTTTTCATAAACATCCTTCATCTTGATGAGGGCATCTCTATGAACGTACAAAACCCAACAATAATTATAAAAATTACATACATCAGCACTGACTCATTAAAGCTAAAATAACGTCAACGTGTGTGAGATCTGACCCATGATTAGATACCAAGCACAGATCTGAGGAACTGCTGTTCCCCACACCACGCCTAAATCCTTTTCCCATCTTAGCACTTTGCCTTCCTTTCTTGTGTCATGCACAAGCACACAAGGACTCCAGCTGTTGACTTTTCCCTATTTAGTCTCAAGATTGTTTCCAAAATTGCTTTTTATACACAATTTCCTAAGTATTAATAACGTTCTTTTCTTAATGCACGAAGTTGCAGCTCTCTTGCTCAACAGACCTATGCATTGATTTTTACTTTTTAATGCGTGCTTTTAGATCCAGTGTTTCCTAGGCAACTTCAGTATCAATACTATGTGTATTATAGTAAAGGAGAAGGAAGCAATGCTAACAGAACCTACATACAATACTTCATGAACTAAAAAATGCTTGTAATAGCCTGGACTAGTATATTCTCTTCTAGCTTCTGAGAGGCTGAGGTAGAGGACTTCAAAAGAAGCAGACAGAGAGAGAACCATGACAACACCTCCAAAAAATGCACTCACTTTTGGTCTGTTTCCTTCTGTAGTTCTCTGTTAAGTTCATCGATTCTCTGTTGCAGTTTCTTGCGTCTTTGTTCTGGAGGGAGATGGCTGAAGTCTTCCAGTGCAGGGCCCTGCAAGTAGAAATGCTGTTAAACAAGTAACACACACACATCTGGACAGCAGAACTGACATACCCACACATGGACAGTGTTCACTGGAAGCAGGATGGACCTTCTTAAAAACTCTACTTGACACACAGCTCTAGAAAAGACCGCACGTTCTTGCTGCCAGATCGTAGTCATTCATTCATGGTTCTTTCTGTGACAGCTGGCTCACAGATGTAATTCAGAATTTGTAGACTTAATATTTTTCTGAAAAGCTGAGCCATGTACCTCCTATTACATCCACTGCATTTAAAGCAGATTTAGAAAGGACAGAACTGATTACTACAGAATAATTTCAGTCAGAACAAAAATCTAAGGTGCATATAATAATAATACGGATATAATTGGTTCTTTCTCTGGAGTGTGTGTGTGTTCTATGGCTATTTGGATGCTATCAAAAGAAAAATACTATATTTTGCATCTTCATTCCGAAGTACTGTTATAGTTCTCTTCCAAAAGTTCACCAATCTTGCTAGAAAACATATTGAAACTTAAAAAGTTCTGATGCATTTTACCTTGAGTAAAACTCATTCCTAGAGTACAGAAAAAGCTTTTTATAACATCAAAATTTTGACTTAAATTTTTTAATCTGAATCAAAACTTGCTCAAATATTTCAATTCACCTTTTTAATTATCAAAAATAATGTTTCAGGAAGGAAAAAGCCTCCTACTTGCCAACCTTTTTTTTAAAAAAAACTTAAGACCACCTGTTGTTATGAGCCTAGGCCTGCAAAGGTTTGATTGCAAACTGGTGCCAAGATTATAAACAGAATGGAAGGACTTGGGTGTGAAAAGCACAGGAAGAGGTTTTTACGTATCTTGTGAGTTTGTTGTGAAAACTCTTCCCCTAAGGGTGACAGGCACCAACAGCATCAAGAAGGAAATACGGTACACATCTGAGTAGCAGCAAGTGGAGTAACATTACTTGCGTCCTAGGTGCCTAAGAAAGTTGGTTTTAGCACAGGAAACCTATTTGCCATTACAGTAACCCTCCAGAGGCAAACCCAACTGGACAGCATTTCTTTTGTCAAGAAACTTGACAGAGACTTGACTGCTGAGATTTTGATACAAGCAGCCTCAGGCGCCAGTGCCAAATTTCTAACACCCCCTTCCTTAAGATCTTCTTGCTCCTCAACTTCCTGGTTCTTTTGCACTTGAGAAATCATAATCTCCCTGCTTTTTAAGAGGAAATAAAAGACACCATAAAAGGAGGAATCAAGATACAATGTCTCCAAACTAAAGCAGAAGTGTTTCTTTCTGGAGGAAAAAAAATAATTAAAATATTTTCAGGTGCTTTTACACACCACAAAGAAACAAAAAGACAATCACATCCTCTGTGTCATTCTTCCTCGCAGTTAAAACCAGAGTATCCTAAGGCAATAATCAGAACAGAGGTCTTTTGGGGTATTTTTACTGATACTCTGCAAAACAACAATATTGATTAAGGTGTAGTTTTCATTTAACGTAACAGCTTTCTAATATTCCTAAGCATAAAGGATCGTCTCTCCTGCAATTTTTTTGTTAAGTTCAAAGGTGTGAATTTTGCAGTACTCAATATTTCTCCTTTATACAAGTTTTGTAGTATTTTCATATACTTATTTTATGCTGCTTTAACAATTTTCCTGACAAAGTGAAATCACCAAGTATTTCCATTATGACCAACTCGTGAATACTGGTCACTAAAATTCCAAAATCACAGATTTAGTTGCAGCCAGATCACAAGTCTAATTATCTTACATTAAGCATGAATGTATATGTGAGTGGAAAATCTGAAGATGTATTTCAGCACCTGACTTAAAGCAGTTATGATATGGAAACACTTTCAAAAGATTACTTTCATGCTATCTTAGCAGAAATACAGCAGACAGATCAGCACACGCGCTTACCATCTTCACCGACCACTGCACAGTTCATTTGAAACAGAAAGAAACGGGAAATTATTCACATGCAACAACCACTTACGAAAATGAGTAATTCCTAAAAATGTATCTTTAAAATATTACTTAAGGATTAAAATTTTAATTTATGAAAAATACATTTTACTATGAGCACAAGAAACGCAAAATACAAATCTCTGCTTTCAGAATTACCAATTAAAAAAATTACCAGGTGACACCGAGTAGTGTAACTTTTATGAAATTTTAATACAAAACTTAAACTACTTTTGAATTGTAGTGTTTCGAATAATATGCTAAAGAACTTCTGTTGCAGGAGAAGAAACAAACACACAGCCAACATTGCACAAAATAGCAGAATTTGATGATGATGAAGGACTGGTCAGCCATAAACAAGTAATTTGTTAACTGCAGCTAACAATCCACTACCATCACTTCTACAAATGTCATTTTTACAATGTATTTACTTTATTATCACAGTAGGACTACATGAACAAAGATCTTTTTCAAGTTTAGAAGTTAGTACATTTACTTGCTGAAAACAGCATTTGGGTCATTGCTGCTATCCTAGAAATGTTTTAGTCCAGATAAAAGTAAAGACATTTAAAGAGTAAAGACTTTATCCTTAGAGGAAGCAAATAAAACATGAGATGCCAGGTGATGTACCTCAAATTTAACATCCACAGCGTTTTGAAGATCTAGCATGCTTTCAATGACTTCATACAACCCTTTCCAGAGAAACACGAAACAACTTGGAAGACACACATCTCCGACATCATTTATGCCCCTCAGCAACTGTTAAGGCTGTTGACTGGGGCTCACACACAAAATCAGTGTTTCCAGCAATGAGGAAAGTAAAGCACCTTCACAAACGATACTTTGGTATAAACCTCAATGAAGTGCAAGATGTAAAATGGCTGTAGAATAAACTTCTTGTTCCCTTTAGAAAGAGTCTTCCAAGAAAACACAGGTAAGGTTTACGTATCACTGTTGATGCATTATTTCTGTATCAAGTGGCATTGAGCAAAGACCTCTCCTATCTGGAAGTGTTAAGATTTCCAAGGGTAATGAGCAGCAGTAATAGCAGTAGTACTAATAACGCAAGTTACACTTGCTTACACTTAAAAGAGCTTTTTTCAGTCATCTGTTTTACAGCTACTGTTTGCTGCTTTCGCTATACATCACAACAGGAAAATACAGTGCATGAACCACAGGGTAAGGGCAGGCTGGTTTTGTGATGTCCAGTGCCTCGAGTCAAATCCTGTGCAGGGCACGTTAAACAAAATAACCAGTATGCTCACTGTCTGGTGTGTGCCAGCTCATGGACAAGTCTCGGTATGAGCACAAGCAAATTAAATACCATTGTAGTTCTGCATCTGGATGCCATTTTCCAGGGACAAAACTGTGGAAAACAGCATCATATACTAGCAACTATTAAGCACTGAATCAAGATATGTTATCAAGATAAGACTGATCAATGAGATTAAACAATCTACTAGAATTACAGTATATATTTAAATTGAAAAGGCACTCAACATGTGATAATGTGATGTCTGTTAAAATGCTTGCAAGGAGTTCAAAAATACACAAAATTAAATGTTAATTCTGAAGATTTAGAGATTAACTATTTGATATTGTGAGATACTTGAGTTAATCCAGATCTGCAGTGATCACTGCTAATTTTACAGAATGCTATTCAATATTAAATTCATTCACTTTTACAACATAAACAATGAACTGTAAGAATAAAAAAAATGAAATAAAAATAAGGTTTCATTTTCCATTAGCATTCTGTAGTTGTTAGGAGATGATCTTTTACTTCACTAAGAGGTTCCAGAACTACTGATATTACAAAGTGTTGATTTGTGAGCCAGGAGTCAATACATTTAGCAGTCAACAAGGAGAAGGTGTAATCAAGACCTGTGCCCTTTCAACTCTCTCATCCTGTTAGTTCCTCACTGGGTACTAAAGAAGGAACATTATTTTCATGACCAGAACAAATTATGATGTAAGTGACTCAGAAGGGCAAAGGAGAAACCATCCTCTGTAAATACTTAGAGGACCACAAGAATGTTCTAAAAAAGGGTGGTGGTAGGAAGGGTATTTCCAAGATACCTGGGGGCCTGAAATAAGATGGCGCAACATGACTTAAAGCAAGTAAGTGTTAAGTGTTACTCATTGTATCTCAGACTAACAGCAAGGGAGCCTCTAAATCAGAACTTTGCTGCAGTACAGCATCATTGTACTTTAATCTCCACATTATGTCAACAGTAGTCAGCCGTTCTTGACGCACGTGAGACAGCAAGTCAATACTGTTTTCAAATATCAGAAAATCATGGATTATATAGAATCAAACACATTTAATTATCTCATTATTTGGATCAACAGATATAATGAAGCGTACATAACTGGGCAGCCTATGCTTCACTGACATAGCAAAGTGCCAGTACGTATATCACTAGTACTATAAATGTTGCTAGGAAACCACTTAACATTTCCCTTTTATTGACTTCCAAACACATTCTATTTGCAGAATATGCCACTATAAATTAGTAAATGAATCGATAAATCTCAGAAGGTGGCATTTGACAGTAATTTTTCAGTAATTTTACCCAAAAGAGCCTTTGAGAAATAAGAACAACTTATTAATCGGAAAACGCATTAAAACGGTAACGTTTTGAAAATCAGTATTTCAAAATCTGCAAGCACCATGTGCTATATAGCATTTGATGTACAAAAGAAATGAAACTTCTCCCTTCAATGTCTCATAATCAACTACTATTATTTCAATTAAAAGTCAGCAAATAAGACATATGAACTGTCAGATTTTTTTTGTGGCGGCTGCATACCCGATGATAAATTACTGCAAAAATGTTACATGATGGTAGGAAAACATTTGTGAATGTGAACAACAATGAAGAAAGGTATCAAACGCATGCTGAACACCCTCTTTATAACACCTTTCTTTTAAGCTCAAGTATTTGGAATGCGATAAACAGTATTTATATTTTTATTTTTAACCTGTTGGTAACTTCTGTACAATATGAAACGAAGTATCCTAAAAGTGACCTTATAGCGAAAGTGTTACTTTTAATAAAGCAAGCCTTATAATGAGGGTGCAGAGCATTAGAAAAGCCACATCACAAACACACTGTTCATAGCCCATCATGCATTTCAACTTGTTATCAAACTTACCCCTCTTTTGAGGCTTCTGAAAGAAGGAATTCTGGGCTTCCCTGTTTTTATGTCACTCATGCAATAATGCACTGGTTCAATGGAGAATATGGGATACTGGGACCCATTAGGAGTACTGGATGTGTATAAACTAGTAGGGGTTAGGGGTGGGGATTGTGGCTAATGTGGAAATAAAGAAAGCAATAAATAAGCCAAATGTTCAAAGTGATTTTAAAATGAAAATTCTGTCTTACAAAAATAAAATTTCCATCTAACACAGAAACAGCTTGTAACGTTCCAGACACATTCACACTATAACTGTATTGGTTTTAAAAGGTTTCTGTCATGAACTAATCTTCAGAGTTACAGGTTGGTTCAGAGAATGAAGGAATATTCAAAAATGCTTTAGACTCAACACTTCCACAAGATCCTAACAAGATCCCGAAGTTGCCTGTCTCTCTTCTTGAAACAGGAAGTTCTGCTTTTCACAACCTTAGTTACAGCCATTCCAGAAGTTTGTGCATTACTGCTCACTCTCATCCTACATTTTCATGTGCCCTACTAGGTAACCTAAACCAGAAACACTAGGTACATCGATGGAGAAAGACTAAACAAAAAGTATACCCAATCTCTGTACTCAAGCTGCACTGACACAATGGCTGTGTGGCATTCTTCATCAATATCATCACAAGAACTTTCTTCCTCCTCTTTTTTTCCAAATTTCTTCTCTCATGTTTTTGTCTCTCGTACCCCTCTGCTGCTTTTTCCCAGTTTGATTTTTCTGTGCTGTTTCCTCTGCTGCCCAGCTTTTTCCCTTTCCAAAAGACTTTTATGTCTTTGAAAACATCAAAAATAGGTAAATGGATATCTGGAAGTCAGGACCAGCCATTTCAGCTAAATGAAGGCCCAAAGGCCACCATGAATACCCCTGCTACAATAAATCAGCATATTTTTATACTAACTAAGAACATATTTTAAAACCTGTAAATAGTATTTGGAATTAAATATTTATCTCCTGGTAAGTATTTTGCTCCCAGCTGCTGTTTTGTAGAGTGCCCCTCTATCATTTCCAAAAACAGGTGAAAAACAGGGACATAATCTTCCATTTCATCCCGGTCTTTAAGGAAAAGATGCATGCAGTACGTATACACATATGTGTATCTGTGATTCCATACTGGAAACAGTAAGGCTGACTCTCTGAACGCTACATACAAAGTAACGAACTGGGGAGAAGAAAGAATAGGCAAAGTCCTGTCAGCGTTCTTCAGCTGTCATCAACTAAGAAACTTCCTGTAACGACAGTAAATGCCAAGGTCCAGACTGAAAATCAGTGCAGATTTTCATAGCTTCCCTCTCCAAAACTCTCAGAAAGATGTCTTGTTGTCAAACTGGTAATCATGATGTAATTTCAGAACAGGCTGAACCTCACGCACCTCTGCAGCCAAATGCAATAAACATGCTAATGCAGTAATGCATTCAAACTATTATCAATTGTTACTTATACTGCAGGAAAAGCAAACAATCAGTTTTCATTTTAACACACAGCTGCAGTTACATATATTACTGAGGAGGGAATAAAGAATCAGCTATATTATATCTTTTCTTTCTGTAAAGATCTGCTTTCTTGGAATACTATCAAGTAGAAAATAAATCCTACCACTAACAAGCTCTAAGAATAGCTTCCTGTAATAAACAGCAGAAACTGACTTGGAGCATTAAAATAACTTCATAGAAATTTGTGGGAATCATTAAAATGACTCACTGATATGCTCCAATACTAAAAAAGACTTAAAATTTAAATACGTATATGCTTCATTATTCAGTTATATAGTTAATGCCCACACTGATAATGTGTTTTGTTGATCCATGAAGGCATCTTGCACAGAAAGTGTTAATTGAAACTCATACAGTAATACAAGAAAGGAGTCATTTATCTGCTTTAAATTTTTTCTTGGGAATATTTTTTCTAGGACATTTACCTGCATGAAGCTTCAACAGTACGTTTTATCAGTGAGGTGGAATGAATTCTAATGTTTTCAGATAAACCTCAGAAGTTTTAAAACTAGCAGCAAGAATAATAAAAACCTATAGATAACAAATGTCTACATTTGGGAGGGGGTTGCTTTTTGTAGTATAAGAGAGAGATCTGAAGTCTGCCCAATTCCAAAGCATATTCCCCCGCCCCTTATCTTTACGTTGACAATTAACACCTTTTCTGTGCAACTGCAGAAAGTCTTTATGGAAATTTAGAAACGTTGCAGAAATAGGAAGCTACTTTCATCAAGTAACTATTAAACACATTCCCAGACACAAACCACTAGAAGAAAAATTGGAAAACTTCCCCTAGTGAGAACTTGATTTTTAATATGGTAAGTATCCAACCCTTCTCAAACCTTCAGATCTCCTTACACATATTTTAAAAAGACAGTGGCAGGCAAGGGGAAGGTTATTTCTAAATAAATAAATTGCTTGCTTCCATGCACTATAGATATTCACATTTTAATTTTCTGAATAGTAATTTCTAAATTGTTACCTTTGGCTTCTTTCCAAATAGCCACAGCTTTCCTTTAGCCTTGCCCACTGTAGTTTTTGAATCAATTCTCACTCCTTCCTGCTTTGGTGTACTGATGGTTCCATCAGAGATAGTTCGGTAAATATTCTGACTGTAATCTTCAAATGGAAAATCTCCAGGAGGTTCAAAGCCAGATTTGAAGCAGTCTATCACTAGTTGAGAGTCCTAAACATAGCACATTAAGGAATTTAAAAAGCAAAACAAGCAAACCCATCAAGAACCAGAGAGAGAAAAACACAGAGACATAAATTTTCTCTTTAATTGCAGAGATGCACAGATGGGAACGAGCGCGAGCTCAAAACGCATGCTTTTGGATAGATCAAGTTAAGATAACCTATGTTGTTACTACGAGTGTAAACCAAAGCATAACCTGCTATTCAGAATCCAGCAAATGCTCCCCACGGGTTATCACAAATTTAAAACAGGACATGCTTTAGGGCCAAACTACTACCCCACCTTCTAACCCTTCAGTATTGGCACTGAGGCGAAGATACCACAAAGAAGATGTAGCGTTATGAGGGAAGAACCCACATTAGAAAGAGTAAGAAAGAAGTGCTAATAGCTGCAATGGAACAGGACACGGAATGATACTTTAACTCAACACCCTCTACATGATTCAATGCTACATACTGAAGAAAACACCAACCAGGCTGACACTCTAGGATGTTTCAGGAAAACCAAAACAATGTGTCCAAACCCACATACAGTGAGAAAGCGTCAGAGATCTTCATTCAGATCACAAGAAAGCAACAACAGGAGGAGAAAAGACACTGAAGTGCAAGTGACCATTTAGGCTAAAACTGAAGTCACAACACTTTTCAAGCAGACAAGTATTTGAGAATAGAAAGATAAACGTACAGGACAAGTCCGTCTTTCCCCTCTCCACAGCTTCCATATCAGTTAAATTGCTCATGCACATTAAAAAAGTCGCTCAGTTCTACTTACTCTGTGTTCATCAACTGATTTTGCGGCAAGGATCATCCCTTCTAAACACTTCGAGATAATCGGAATAACCTTGCGCTCAGAGTCAGCAAAGCCTTTGTAACATTCACTAAGTTTGATCGTCCTTCTTTCATCCATTTCTTGAAGTTGCTGCAAGCACAAAGATAAAGCTTTTATTTGCAGATTTCCCCTCCCTCCCCCCACCCCCCCCCCCCCCCGAATGCAGTTACTGTGGTCACTACAATGTAGTACAGGATTTCCATGCTTTCCCAGTATTTTTATTTGCTTAACAAAACAGAACTTAATTAAGCTAAAAAAATCAAGTCCTTTCAGTCACAGACTTAAAACGCCCAGAACAGTAACTACAAAGAGTTGATACTCTTTTGATTTTTAAAAGTGATGTAAAGGACTGGACTTTCTTTTCCTTATTCTTTTTTAGAGCACATGTACTGTGTCTACAGACGCTTATTTAGTTTGAAGTATTTATTTCATGCAAAAATAGAAACTACAGTAAAGAAATTCTACTAATTTCTACATCTCCTCACGCTCTCCTTCTAATTCCAAATAACTTCTCTCTGGTGATAAATATCTCTAACTTGCTTTTGTTTGTATACTTTCCAATAAATACCAATGAATAAAAAAAAATAAGAAAGGTTAGAAACAATAAAATTATATGCTATTTAGACATTTCCTTTAGAAATGTGCAAGGAAATAAAGAAACAATACCATTACATAAGATTTGTAATAAAATTCTACTGGAACACAACAAAAAGAACAAATTAAAGAGAAATACTGTTAATAGCTCTGGACCTTTCACCTAATTGAAGGTGGGGAAAAACCAAACAAAAAACTTGAACCCAAAAAGAACAGTACATACAGTGATAGGTTATCAAAAACAGGGTTCTTAAGAAGTTGGATCTCTCCTCTTTCTACTCTAACAAAGGCAAATAAAAATAAATGTCTCAAAGAGCATCCAATTTCACCTCCCGGAAAAAAAGTGACAACCTAGTCATGCTAAATCCCTCTCCCAAGGTTTTCACATAGAATGTTACCAAACACCTGCAAGGAAATAATAAAAATGGAGTCTCAAGAGAATGTAGGACTAGGTCTTGCTGGTCTTACTGGAGATTTCAAAAAAACATGTAGTATCTTACAATGAGAATGGATTTTAACCCTAGAGAAATCAAGGCAATAAGCCAAAACTCTGGCCCAAGCTACAAAGATGATCGAACTGTTTCTCCTGGGAGCTGACTGCAATTCCTCCATCAGTGTGCTCCTGTCAGATCTACTGTATCGCTGCTTAACAGTTAAAATATTAGAAAATTGCCTTGACAGGCTTTAGAGGTGAGTCTGTGTGAGCCTCGTGAAGCTCAACAAGGCCAAGTGCAAGGTCCTGCACCTGGGTTGGGGCAATCCCAAGCACAAATACGGGCTGAGTGGAGAATGGATCGAGAGCAGCCCTAAGAAGGACTTGGGGGTGTTGGTTGATGAGAAGCTCAACATGAGCCAGCAATGTGCACTTGCAGCCCAGAAAGCCAACCGTATCCTGGGCTGCATCCAAAGCAGCGTGGCCAGCAGGTCGAGGGAGGTGATTCTGCCCCTCTATACTCTGCTCTCATGAGACCCCATCTGGAATTCCACCTTCAGCTCTGGGGCTCCAACACAAGAAGGACATGGACCTGTTGGAGCGGGTCCAGAGGAGGGTCACCATGATGATCCGAGGGCTGGAGCACCTCTCCTACAAAGACAGGCTGAGAGAGTTGGGGCTGTTCAGCCTAGAGAAGTGAAGGCTCCGGGGTGATCTTATTGCAGCCTTCCAGTACCTAAAGAGGGCCTACAGGAAAGCTCGCCCTGTACACTTACAAGGGCATGTAGTGATAGGACAAGGGGCAATGGATTTAAACTGAAAGAGGGCAGATTTAGTTTGGATATAAGAAAGAAATTTTTCACTGTGAGGGTGGTGAAGCACTGGAACAGGTTCCCCAGAGAAGCTGTGGCTGCCCCATCCCTAGAAGTGTTCAAGGCCAGGCTGGATAAGGCTTTGGACAACCTGATCTAGGGGAAGGTGTGCCTGCCCATGGCAGAGGGGTTGGAACTAGATGATTTTTAAGGTCCTTTCCAACCCAAACCGTTCTAAGGTTCTATGAAAATCCTCTAATAAGCCAAGGGGATTTTCTCCTGTGAATCCTAGACCTTCTACTATGTATTTTTTAAAAATATGAACTCCCTTGTGCTTCTGGAAAATTATCAAGCATTCTCAAATTGGTACACCTTCAAATAAAGTCAGTATTTTTACTTTCCATTTCCTCACTCCTTGCCTCGGACTAAGCATAAATACTCCAAGCAGTAAGTCTCATGATAAAATGCAGGTTTTATCAAGATTATCCACTAAAATCCCCAAACCAAAGTTTTACATTTTAAAATCTACTTCTACCTTAAAAGATCAGACATACTTTCTCTGTTAATGATTTTACCTTATAAATCTGAGGAATGATAACGTAGTAGTGTTTGTGCTGCTCCCCATTAAAATTCTGTAGTTGTGCAGCATATTCATTTTTATTTTCATCAGCCATATGCGTGCGCAGGTTTAACTGTTGCTTAGCCTAGTAGGAAAATGTTATCAGTTCAAACACGTCTCGTGCTTTTCAGTGATATACAGCATTATTTTAGTTTATTTTACCAACTATGCAAAAACACCGATTAAGTAAAACAGACATCCTTATATTGAAATAAAAAGAACGTGAGACTTGGTATATACTCATGGTCTACAGACCTGATTTGTTACATACAGAGAGAGCAATGACAATTTTAGCTCCCTCAGCCACATCACTGAAACACATATCCTAAAAGACATAGAAGTGACTGAACACATATACCACAAGACACCAAATACCAGGAAGCTTGTTTAAGACAGACAGTCATCATCTCAACAGCATCGTCTCAAGATGATGCGTACTCCCTCTCTGCTTATATTTTACTGTAACTTTGACTTTGCACATAATAAGCAAGCATACTTTATACAAAATTTTATACACTCAGAGCATGTTATTCCAGTACTGATGATAAACATGCAAATAAAATGTTTTTTAATAATAAAAAGAGAGTAAAGAAAGAAACGGCACTGCTCTTACCTTCTCAACATCAGCCTTTGTCGCGTTAGTGTCATTGTCCAGTCTTTCATAGCTTTGCTGTGCCTTCTCTGCCTCTCTGCATTCTCTCTCAAATTTCTTTTTGCTCTACAAAAGCCACAAACTTACTGCTTCAACAGCCACTATCCCCATTTGGTTTTGTACCATCATTTTGAATTCTAAGTAGCAAAGCTTCTATTTAAGTATCTTAAATTCACTAAGTGCCTTCAAGTAAATACATTGTTCTCATGGAAACCAAGTCCCAAAACACAAAATAACCGTTACAAAGATCTGCAGTTAATTATCAACAGACAAGTCTACGTTCTAGCTTGACTTCAATAACCTAAATAAAAGTTAGGGGGTAGAAACCTTAAACCTGGATTTGTATGAATAAAATTTTCAAGTTCCCTTCTTCAGTGATCAATTTTAATTGAATAAATTCAATTAAATTATTCTGAAGGTAGTCTGAAGGATTTATCTACGTTACAAGATCTTAGAATACCCATCCAGTACCACCAGTACTCCTATCAGCTGGTGTAGCTGTAAGCAGCACAGACAACAGTTTGCAATGTACTTGATGTTCAAGATATCCAGCTGTTGCCAAGACAACTGCTGTAGGAAAAACTGTTGCAGCTCAAGAAGTTAGTATCTCTGGAGACAAACAGGCAACAGAGGTTGTTGTGTGAGCACTGCTCTCCTGCTTCAGTGCAAGTCAGGCTGTTGAGGCTAATGTGTCCCCTAAAGGCTGTATGCGTTTAAAAGACTGACTGCACACAAATAAATACGGTGCACACAACACAACTGGTGATTGTTTGAGGTGAACTCTGGGAATTATCTTGGTGAAGGGTGATAGCATCTAAAACTACCACATCTGCTTCGACTCTGAACTCTGACACGACACTGAGGCAAGACGTTGCTTATCTGGGGCCACAACAACAAAACAGAAATTCCACTCTCTGTTTCTGCTTCACAATAATCCGGGTCAAAGGAGTAATAAATTTCTAAGACACAAAACCAGCAGAATATCAGAAGGCATCTCGAATGCACTCAGTTGAATTTTATATTTTCTCATCTTTAAAAGCATGTTTCTCAAGAAAAAGGAGTTTATAATCTGTTCTAGGGAAATTCACTTCCTGCATTTCTCTGTTAGAAAGTAATTCTACCTCCTGAAAGCACAGTAATCCATAGTGGTATTCTTGAATAGACCTCATGTAACGAGCCCTCGAACTCAAGTCAAATACAGTGACTTAAGATTTCATCTTCATATAAATAAACTGTCATTATTAATTACTCTCTAAACAAAAAGTAGCCTGCAGAGAAGCAACCAAAGAAATGTATGCCCTTGTCAAAAACAGACTCCTTCAAGCTGAATAAGAGCCAAAGCTTCACTCAAACACACACACAGAAGCTGTTTACAGGAGATTGTTTCGAACAGGGAACTACAAATACATTGAGCTGTATTTTGGATGTTGCTAGAAGTCTGGTTTCGACATTCAGTAATACAGCTAAACATTCCAGTCTAAGCAAGCAAGACGACAACAGTTGCATTTACAGACTGCATATTATTAAGTTTGATAGGAAAAAAATCAAAACACAAACTCACATTATCCATCTGTTTCCAGCACATGTCCAGATACTGTTGAGCCTTTCGCCCTTCCTGAAGATGCTAAAATCACCACAAATAAGTTTAATTTACATATCTTTTTAGTACTGTTGCCATTAGTTAGTCCCTGCTCTAGGTGACACGCTACGATGTGCAGTATCTCCCACAAGTCACCAGTACTCTTTGGAAGACATTAGTAATCACGTAAGAACAGATGAAAACTACACTGGTAAAAGAGTTATCTGTAAGCACTATCTCCCCAAATCTTTATTTTTAGGTTTAATAACTGCAGTAAACTAGTACATAAAAATGCAGAATAAGTTTAAGCATGTATTTTATAAATGTTATAAATTAAAAACTACTTAATTGAGGGTTCATTAAATTGGGTAAAAAAAAACCCACAGTTTTTTAAGACATATCCATTTTGATATCTTATCAAATCAAAATACAGAAATTACCATTTTTCTCTCAGTTTTTAGATCATGAGAATATCTCATCAATTCTCCGTACACTCTGTGTCCCATTTCTTCTGCAACTACTTCTCGTTGTCCTGCATAGTCATTCAACTCATTAAGGATGTTAAAAAAGGCAACACACGAAGTAAACCTGACAGAAAGCACACACACACAAACATACATATACAAAAAGTGAGACTTTTTTTAATGGATTTCTTGTAGTAGAGTCTGTACTCCTGATTAAATAATAAAAAAAAAAAATCACATATTTTACAATAAACCTTATCTTAATGCTAATTGAATTATAGTAGAAATGCAAGTTGGGAAAGCCTACATTAAGCCTAGCATGTACTATATGTTGCAATGTCTCTTCAAATACATTTTATAAGAATACGGATTTTTGTGGATGAAAAAGAAAGAAGAAGAATACTACCTGGAAAGCCCTGTAGTATAGTGGTATCTCCTAAGCTGCCAACTGAGAGGCCTGAGCTTGGGGACGGATACATACGTCCCTAGGCTCGGAGGCTGAACTTGGTGCAGAGATGATGTGCTTGGTAGTCTTGAGGGTGGAACATGCCAATCATACCACTCATATGCATCCCGATGGATGATCTACAGAACAAGTTTGCTATCAGCTCTGGAGACAGCTGCCTGTTTGGCTGCCCACCTCTTGGCTGGAAGTAAGGTGCCACTATGGCTGGCACTAAAAAGGGGGGAAGAGGAGGGGCAAAGGGTAGAAAGTGTGTGCGGAAGGGAAGAAAAGAAAAACAAAAAAACAGGCACCACATTAAAATATACATCTTTCTCTCTAACTGTGGAATACTGCCATCTCCATAGGCTTGGCTCTGGGGAATTCGAACGCCACCCTAGCACTAGAAAACCCATTCCCTGTGGTCCAGGATCTTTAAATAGTCGAAAGAGCTAGACGAAATCCTAGTGTGAAGTCTCAGGCACTCTGTGCACAACATGTGCTCTGGCTGCAACCTGAAACTTGCCCACTTTCTTACCTTCACAAGTTATCTCTAAAGAAAAGAAAGTATTGTTTTTCTAAATACATAAAAAATGGCCATGCACGTGGACAACAAAACAAGCACCTCTGATAAATAACCATAAAGTTATTTAGCACAAATTGCTCCTCCACAGTTAGACATTCACTTATTTTGTCTCCAGAGTCAAAACAAGTAAACTGTTTAAGAGGTCTTCTTGCCAAAAACATGACGATTTTGTGTACACTCAAGGCTTAGTATACAAATGTGTATTTGTATGGCAATACAAATGCACTGAAAAACTCCACTAAGCTAAGCCAAAAACACAGCCTAAGAACACATAATTGCTGTTCTATAAAAAGGCAATACTAGACTGTACATAGCACACTAAACTGCTGCTTTCAAACTTTCAGCTAGCTAAAGGTTAATTTGTAAAGGAGCAAATACAACCTGCCGTGTTTACTACTTGAAAATACTAGCCGTGTTTACTACTTCAAAATACTAACAGCTTGGGTTTCATGCTTTAAAATTACAGCAAAACTAGAAGAAGCCAAGCAGAAATCTTCTTGTGTCTTAGCCAATTAGAAGCTTTATCTTAAAAAAAAAAATATCCGAAAAAGGACAGAGTATACTGTAGTCCTCATTTCTTATACATAGAACTTGAAATGCACATTTTTACCTGGGTTCCTCATCTTTGGGTGAACGTTTAGGACAATACTTCTTAACCAGATTTCTGTTAAGGAAAAACAAAAAAAAAGATGCTATTTTAGAGTCTCTTTTGAGAAGACGTACACATAGAAAGCTGCACGAACAAATTTTTTTTTTTCATGACTTCAAGGAACAAATATATTCCCTCTGTCATCTTATAAGGGTCCTTTAGATAACACAAAGCAGAAATCTATGGCATTTTCAAAGTTTTAAGTCACTCTGACCTAAACCAATATATTTCTAAGTATTTTAAAACCTCTCTTGCACAGTAACTAGACATAAAATAATGATTCCTTAATTAACATCCTTTTCATACATGCAAAAGAAGTCAGCAGACAAGAAAAAAGCAAATGCATGGTCACTGTGTAAGATACAGATAGTGCACACTGCATGCTATACCCATGAGCACAAAACTCCATCTCTGAATTAAGCTTCCGGTGTACATTCAGGTTTTAACCACAGTATCTCCAAATCTGCAACAAGAATATTTCCAGAACAGAAGAGGGAACGTCTCTTTTCAGGAAAGATGCTAACTTTTTCCCTCTCACCGGTGTTGTAAATATCAGGTTTTAGAAGCCAAGAAATCTCTGAAAGACGACCCATGGGACCAGCACTTTACACAGTACTACAGTCCAATTTCCGAGAACACCGATATGAACTCATTTGTTTATCGTACAATGCAGAAACGGCACCTTCAGAAACATGTAAACCACATCATTTACTCTACCCTAGAGCACAAACAACTCAGGCATACACTGCTTGCACAAACAACCACAAAATATTTGCAGTTACATAATTTTAGGATATTTGCTACAAATATCCCAAATCCTGTGGTAGGTGTGAAATAAAGCCACACAATTTTACAGACAGGAAGGATAAGAGGAGAGTGTCCAGTGATTTTTTGAATTTTATCTTCCTCTATGCCAAACCTTTGCTTTAAACTTCTGAGTAACACCTTTTTTCCAGCACGGCATTCTGCCTTGACTTATAATATTGTTTTTCTGACAGGAATGAGCTCTTTTTAAATTCTTGAAATTCAAAAGGATACATGTTGTCAGTCTCGAAAAAAAACCTGTAATTTCTGTCTCATTTTTAGTAGCTGGATGTTCATACCTTCAAATAGTTGCAGTTTTTATTCTAGCAGTTTTCAAAATCGTCAGGTTTTTCCATGGAACAGAAAAATTGAAATTGAAACTCTACTACAGTTCTTTTCTCTTCCCTGTGAGTTTGTCATTTTACAGCAAATAAAGAATTCAAAAGAAAAACAGATTAAGACATAGGATTTTTCCCAAATTGCTTACCCTCAATCTTTGTACTTTTTGAAACATTTCAGTTGCTGCATATTTTTAAAAGCAGCAAACAGTATTTAAAGAGAGATCTACTATTCAAATTAAATAGACCAGTATTTAAATATCAATGCCCACCCTCACAAAAATTCTCATGTTTTCCAAACATTCGAACCACTTCATCAAAACCTTGCTAGTAATGTTTAAACTGTGGACCAGATTGTTACAACATCTCTCATTTAAACTATCAAAGTAATATTTTTAAGTGTGAATTAACATCTCAGCAGAAAATAACACATGTCGATTTCTTGCTTTACAAGCAACACATAGCAGCAACACAATGCTGGCAATTTTTTCCCCCATACATCTCTAAATAACACCTTCCATTTAAGAACAAAAAAAAAAGCCCCAACCCACAAAACAAGTACACACAACTGAATCATTTTGTTCAAGAGACAGAGTGTTTGCCTTGAGCTTGTCAGGGAAGACTTCTCTAAATGTGTTCTTGAGGTGGACCTGGATTATGCAAACAATGCTTTTGCTTTTTAATTAGTATGAAATAGATTTCATTCAAACTTCTGTATGGTGTATAGGGATGATCTTTTGTAATGAAACTATTTTACACATCCACCCGAAGAAGAAATTAAGTCTAAACCAATGCAAACCTAGCAGAGCTGTTTTAACAGTTGTCCTTTAATTGGCCTCTGGATATAATTCTCCCATCTGTCTGTCCAGTAGTAATTGAGACAAGTGGCCATTGATTTCTTAGACTAATTATCAACATAGCCCAAAACAGTTTCCCAAAAGCAGCAAAAAAGTGGACTACATAAAGCAAACTACACCCTCAATGCTACAGAAAAAAGGAGAGGAGGAATAAGATTCCATGAAACACAGTCTTGCGTGCATGTTTTGTATCTCATTCCTACTGTTAGTGTGTAACTTTGGTTGTGACAAACTATGAACTACCTTATCATTAAAACAAGGGTGCTAAGCCTGCTTTCATCTAAAATAACCTTGTGCAATTTCTCAAATCAATTTATTTTGAAGTCGTATTATCTCTACAGTACAAGGGTACAAGTAGCAAGACTATGTTCAGTCATGAAGCATAGACCAAAATATGAGCAGGGAGTCAGTGTGGAAATCGTAAACTTAGACCGTTTGCCTCTTTCCATACCCTCAGAGACCACAACCAGAAAGAACAACCATGATAAGATAGCCACATTCTTTTGACATCAATCCGTACTAAGAAACAGAATAAACACTAGCTTTTAAAAAAGTATCTACAAATTTTATAAGAACTTTATCACTAAAGTTAAAACAAGAATCACCAGAATCCACTGCCTGTTGTAACATTCTACTTGGTAGGGATTAAATGCAGACATTTTGACTGGAAAATGCATAAATCCAAGAAAAAAAAGAATAGTCATCTTTGCTAGGTAGCTTATCCATGTTTCATTCTCCCTTACATTTCTGCTTTGCTCCTCAGCGCTCATTAATGAATGGGAAACTCCTAAGGTTCATCTTATTATTCAGATGGTGAAATGCATAACAAGCATACAACGATGTAGCTAAGCAACCACGCACGAGCCTTTTCGAGGGAAGGTCTTCAGAGGTGATAAAAACGAGAGAAGAAATCACTTACTAAAACCCATACGGTTTAAAGTGGCATGAAGGGTCACAAATATAAATTATTTACTAGCATAGAATCATAGAACAGTTTGGGTTGGAAGAGACCTTAAAGATCATCTAGTTCCAACCCCCTTTGCCATGGGCAGGGACACCTTCCACTAGATTGGGTTGCTCAAAGCCTCATCCAGCCTGGCCTTGAACACCTGCAGGGATGGGGCTTTTTGCATATAAAAATGTGGTAACTATGTCTCAATTTGACTAGATGTATACATATATTGATATTGTATTTAGGAAAAAAGACATTTACACACAACAGTATATAGAAGAAACATGAAAAATACCTTTGCTCAGATTTACTACACGTCTCCAGAGATCACAACATACAATCTTAAAGGGAAACACTCAAATAGTTTAAGAACAATCATCGCTATTCTCTTCAAATGGACAACAGAAAAGCTGACCAAATTCAGAAATCTTACTCTGCACGGTAGTTTCATCTACAACTGCATGTATAACTTGTAGTACTGCCTAACATCACGGGAAGTGAAACTCCTCTGTCTTCTAAAGCGTCATAATGCTTCAGACAAAACAAAAAGGGAGTGAACCTCCAGAATTATTTTGTGTCCAATGATGTGGAAGTAAACAAAACGGACCTTCACCTCGCCCCTTTTAGGCAACAATGCTGATCAAAAACAGCATCTGAGAATTCAATTACTAAATTCAGCCAAGAGCGCAGTAATTTGGCACATACTAAAACAATTTTTTTCCAGCTATAGAATAAAACAGTCATATAATTAAAATAAAATCTGTTCATCTACAATGTATATTGCAGTATGTTTGTCCTGATTCACATTCCTGTAATGCACAATACATTAGTTTAGACCTAAGTTACACAAAACTTCAGATTTTCCTTTAAGTTAGCTCAAAAAAATGAAATTATTGTTTATTTTTTCCAGAACAAAGTATATTGCAGACAAAGACAAGACAAGCTCTCTAGACGTTTTTTTCTCTGTAGACACTTGAGGATTCCTCAATGATTCTAATTTTTCTTACACTTTTTCTCAGCATCAAGAGCTGCCTATAAAAGAAGAATAGCAAGGATTGACTTGCAACCTAAAACCACCATTTGGACAGGGTTCTCAGAAGTTTTCATTTCTGGAATTACTCAGCAACTATAAACTGCAATAACTGCATTCAGTAAGAATATAGCAAGTTCACTCAAACAGTTCCTCATATGCTGTACATGTATCACTTGTCATCTACAAGACTCGGAACAGCTGTTGCACCTGGGAAAGTTTCATCACTAAGTTTTGACTGTATACTACAATGGGAAAAAAAAAAAATCTTATCAAAATGCAAAAGGGTATACACAAAGTGAGTATGAATTTCTGCCAGGACACAGACTCGTAATTTGTGAAAACTGTTATGAAAAATTCACTCAAGTTTTCAACCTTGGGTTGAAGTCTATGAGCACAAGATCCATCAACAATCTCAACAGAACATTTACGGCCCACACTGAAACCAAGACAGAAAAGAAATACCATCGTGCATCACTAGCGTTATCTCCCTCATTAAACTTGTTTTTTCTTGGTCTCCCATCCAAGTACTAAGAGAACCACAGAACTACGAAGAGGTGATCACTCACCGTACTGTTTATACATTTACTAAACAGACATAGTAGATCTTCAGTTATAAAGTTCATTATAAAGAAATTCTCAACACTGTTTTTCAGATTGTATTTCATTATAAAAGGAAAAGACTTTTATAAATTAGAAATTTCTATCAGAGATATTAATATCTGTCTCGCAGGCCATATGCTGCCAGCATTAAAATTCACCAGAACCATAGCCCATCATCCCCAAGATCTTCTCTCTCAGAACTTCTCAGGAGCAAGCTGCAGGATGGCTAACTCTTCTGAAGGTGAAAATTTTGCTTTATCTCAATCTCCCCCAAGGTCTCATGACTGTTTTACATGGTTAAAAATACTGAGTGTCCTCAAGAGCAATGATGGCTGAAATCAAGTTGTTATCATAGGACAGTTCACTACTGACAATCAACTCTCCCTCAAGGAATACACAGGCAAGAACACCAAAGAGTAGCTTCATGAACTGGTCTACTGGCAGAAAATCAGTCACCCTCTTGTGTGTGTGCTGTCCAGACCCTTGTTGGCAGCAGGCAGGAAGTGCATGCATGCACTGTACAACACATGTGCAGCAAGACCTGTGCTTCCTGAAAATGTCATACTTACTGACACATGGACAGTCAGTCCAGTCATCTGACAGAATGGGCACTCAACATAACTCTTTCGTTTTTGAAAGGCACTTTGAGAAAAATCAATAGTTTTACCCAAAAGAGAAAAATGCTGAACAGGGAAGATTTCCTATTTTTAGTCAAATCCTGAAGTAATAATGTGGTGTCTCGTCTTGCTAGCTGTAGAATGAACCTTTAAATGTAAGTAAGCAAAATAACATTTGTTCATACTACTTAAGAAAAAGATCTGGATAGATCCGTGCAAATAAAACACATTTCCATTTTTAAACAGACAACTGAAAACAAATCAAAACTGGGCTGTGAACTGGTGCTGCGCATGCTTCAAAACTTTCCTTTACCTCCTGAAGTTCTTCTATGTCAGCTTTGGAAAAGTGGTATTTATATCCTTCCTTTTAAGAAAAAAATTCCTTCAGTAAAGTAATGGGGTATTATGTTAGGTGAATATACACAACTGGATCAAAAGAAACTGATAAATCAATAATGAAATGAGCAGCCTAGACAGACAACATCCATACCCTCTGCTGTGAACCTCATTACTGCATTTATGAGGAAGGATTCCTCAACCCTGTATCTGGTGACAATCTAGTTCACCAATGATGAGACAATGGAAGACACCACAGGAGAGAATCTGCTATCAGTTTCAGTCTGACAAGGGCTAGGCAGCAGCTTCAGCTGAATCCCCAAAGGAATTCAAAACAGGAAAGATCATGGTGAAGGCCAAGTAAACAGGAGTGTCTTATTTTAAATCTTGTTCTTCAAGCACTGTGTGCGCCTTTTGGAAAAAATCAATCCTACTTTATTCTAAAGAATGTCCTTCTCTGCCATTTCATTGCTGCTACTCTTCTTCCATGATCCCTGAAGGGGAATTCCTATTGGACCTAAAAGATATTTCACTTGGTGCCAACAGACAGTAAACTGGAGAGGTAAAACAAAGGGTCATTTGGTTACAGTCTCACCCAAAGGGACAAGACCAGCTATGGAAAGGGCGCACTTTGAGTACAGGAAGATCTGCTGCTTTCTCAAGTTCTACTCAATGATTCCAATCAGATTTCTTAACACAATGTGGTGTAGTTCTTGCCAAATCAACATGAGAAATTAATTAGTAGCAGAGGCTTGAAGCTGGTTCAACACACACACACACACAAAAATGTAGATATGGATAATGCACTTTGCAACAAACACCCGGATAGTCAGCGGAAAAATGTTACTATGGCTTTGTTTTGCATCTTAGGTCTTAAACCTTTTTAGTTCAAAGATTTCATGGGTGGGTAGGAAAGAGAGGGAGGGAAGAAGGCAAAACCAAGCAAGCAAGTAAGAGCACAGTCAAACACAATTTTGTTTTGGACTAGTAAAGAAAAATTTTTCTGTCTTGAAAAGATCTAGTGATCTAATTCACTCTGTAAATGAAAAATAGTCATCAATCACGACATTACATACTTGCCCATCATCTGATACAGTGATTTTAAGTAACCGTTAACACTCTTTTAAAAGGAAAAGAAAAAAAAACCAACTTACCTCAGTTGTTTTGCATAGTTCTGCTCAATTTCTATTCTTTCTTTTACAAATTTTGCGTATTTCTCCAGGAAGTCAATACCCCACTGTGTATGCTTGTCTAAGTTATCAAACTGATCCTTTAAAAACAAAAGGAAATAAAAATACCCAGAATTAGTTAAGAATCACAGCAGCACTAGAAGTGACATGTAATTTATTATGAGTTGTGCTGTGAGGGAGTGCTTGCTACTTGGTTAGAAGTTATTCAAGTTATAAATCAGCCATGTCTGCATATATATATCAGCCATATACCAGAACAGTAAGCTGTATGTGCAGGCACAGACCTACCTCCTTCTGTAAAAACAGCTCTAAATATTTGCATTTTAAGTTGTATACAGTCTTCGATCACTTTCACAATGCAGATGTGTCTTTTTTCGACCCTAAATATCCTTTAATTCAAAAATGGATCTTTTCCACTAAGATAACCAAAGATCAGGATTAGGTAAATAAGAGACTGTTTAATGAAAGAGATGTGTTTGGCAATTTTAAACCACAAGAAACTGTAATTTCATCAGATACAAAAAAATTACTTCCACTCTTACAATTACTCAGTGAAAGAAAAATAACATAAATTATAGTTGCATGACTAAGTTGGGTGTAGTCTGCATACGAAAAACATTTATTAAAGCAAATCTCTATACACATTTCATGATCAGCTCTAGCAAGAGATTCCAAAGAAAGCAAACCTGTCCTTAGCCATTACGAAAGTTATAGCAAAGCAAAGGCACAAAACAGAAACAGTAAAAATAAACCACACTTTCAAAAACGGGGGATTTTTAACACATCAAATCACCTTCAAAACCAATCTTTCACTGTATTCTCTACTGATCAACAGGTGGAGGATACACTAATTAGGCCAAGTTGAAAATTCAAAAAACAAATGGAAAAATCGAGGTTAGGAATTAGTTAGGAATGAATAAAGGTATAAAATACAGCCTAGCAAATATTTTAGTCTAGCACACTTGTATTTTATGCTAAAAAAAATCTGCCAGAATGGAAAAATCAAGGATTTTCACCTTACGACAGAATCTACAGTAAATTTTTCTTAACAGTTACTTATTAATCCAAAAAGAAAAGCAACCACAACATCAGAGTTTGTGTCCTGTATATGCTGAATCCAAATACACTTGAGAGCAAATTTAAAAAATAAAAAGTAGAAAAAAAAGGAAAAAAAGCTAGCTTGACCCTCAGTTCTTTTATTATATTTTTCTCCTCTCCACTTTACTGGAGGAGTGAGAGAGCGGCTGTGTGGAGTTTAGTTGCCGGATCGGCCTAAACCACACAAGCATTTAAAGGTAAAGTTTATTTAACTTGCACAAAAAACTGAGAGGCGCTTATCAGAAGCTGTGTCTTGCAGATTCAGCAACTTGCCTGAACCAAATGAATTATGTCAACCTTCAGAATTAGCAACCTAAGTTCAATTTCAACATGCAGTAGGATGATCTGAAGATAAATCAAAAAACGCCGCAGAGCTTAAGACTCAAGGAAAACGTATTCACTAATAGAGGTATCAAGACAATACAACTATATAAACCTAACAAGAATAATAAAAAAGAACGTAGCAGGATTAAGGTTGCTCTCAAATCTTGCCTTGCAGCTCTCGGTATCCTACACCATGGACTAACAACCATGGCGGTTAGTGCCTTGAACACTCCAATCCAATGGCATGCAAGCACCACCAACCGAAAGCACCCATCCTGTTCCACTACTAGCCATGTGCTTCTGCCTCTGCATCACTCTCTCCACCAAAACCACAACCAATTTCCCTGATCTGTTTCACCAGAGAACCATAAAAACAGCCAACAGACAGGAGAGCGACTAAGACAAGATTTTAATATATTTGAGAAACCATGGCCTATATCTCATATTGTTCTGATGTGCTCACTTCACACCAGCTGGACATTTCCAATATTTTTGTCAAATAAAGTGACACTTCTGCAATTGTTTTCAGAAAAGTTGCATATGCATTGTTTGTTCATGGGAAGAGGGAGACTGTTACCATGCTGCAGTGTCAAACTGCTGTTGCATATATGCAGAAAAATACATCATCTCAAGAAGCCTTTCTTTTTTATATTCCACTCATTTTTGTAATTACTGACATTAACCTGGCATCCAAAAGAAGCTTCCAAAAGGTGCTTTTGGCATGGAGCCAACATCCAATACCATTAAGAAGAACTGACTTCCTTTAATGCACAGCAGAACAAAGCCTTTGCTGTCCTACTTAGGCGCTTTAGTCCACAAAGCTCTCATTTGCTACTGAAGTTTCATTAGCATGACGGAATACCACATTACTTATGTTTCGAACATGTAACCAGAGAGGATGGCTTTCCAGATATTTTCTAAGGACTCCACTGGTCAAAATTAATTCTCTGCTACTCATATGAAACCGGAATGGAAAAAAATAAGTACATTTCACATGCTATTCTTCCTTTACGCTCTACTAGAAGTATTTCATCACTGACTGAGTGCCAAAAACTTCTTTTCCTCTATTCCTCCTCTTCATCTGATTCAAGAAACAGAATGCTCTGTGCAAAGACAGCTTTGTAGGACTATCCCATAGTCTCTCACAGGAGGAAAGAATTTGCTCCCTCTCTATATGAGGAACATGCACAAAACATACACAGAACAACCTGAATGGAGTAAATCCTGTGTAAGAAAAAAAATTAAACCCCATTAGCTATCCTCACCGCTCTGTGGACCTTTACATCAGTCGAGCTCCTCCAACACTATTGACATCTATAAAACTACTCATGGATGCATTAATAATATCCTAGATAAGGAATGGAAATTCTAATTTAGTAAGCCAGTAGTCCACATTTACTGAAATTAAAATAGTAGTAGTACATTCCCACTCTTTTGAAGAGTGAGACAGCTTCACAAAGTCAGTTTGTTGTTCACTGCTTTTTTTTGGTCAGCAATTATATTATGCACTTATAATGAAGCATACAGTATGAAGGATCAAAAAATAATACTTTCAAGAAGTACTAAAGTAATTTTTTTTAAATTGGCTTATAAATGACCAAAGTTAGATGCCCCCCAAAAAATATCTACAGATGACAATGTAGATTTGTATTCAAAATAAAAACACTGTAATAAACTCTCACATAAACACCGATTCCTTAGATTAAATTAGATATACTGACAATGTATCTTAAGTTCTCTGTAAGTCAAGTATGTACTGTAGAACAGAGCTCTCAATTAACAGATAAAGAAAATATATTAAGCAAACACATGAGCTTCACAATTTTTTCAAATTCTCTATGAACAATAAATCAGTGAATGAAAGTCTGCAGTCACAAAAATCACCTTACACTGCTCAATAATGACACTGAGATAAACGAGCAAAAGATAAAGGCAACATCAATGAATAAGCAGAAAGGAATGGCCTTTTCAGAAGGCTTTCTAGAGGCGAGTTGCAAATTTACTCCTTTCAACTTCTCTCCAGAAGCATCCATGTTTGAGCTCTGAGCCTCGATTAAGCAAGAAGTTTCCTTTTCATCCAGGAATACAAGCAGAAAAATCTTTCACACTGCTACAAAGGAAATCATATTAATGCACTGAGATACAAGCCAAGCCAAGCAATATCTTGAATGTAAAAATCAGTGCAAAAATCAGGCGATACCGTACAGAGGAGAAAATAGACCAAACAGTTGCAGTAAAATTTAAGCCTGGAATTTCAAAATAAATATATCAATGTATTAATTTGGCTCTCTCCTTTATAAGAAATATGACAACAGCATTAACTAAAGATCAGCTAAAGGCAATTCAAAAAAAAAGAGCACATCCTACAACATCTGACTACCACACTGATAGCAAAGTATGTTCTTAACAATATTCCAAGGCAAATATATATTGCTGTTTGTCTACTAACTCCCCACACCCCTTAGCAGCTGAGCAGGCAATTTTTGTAAAAAACTTTATTAAAACTGCAGCTGATTATTACTAAACCGATTCAAGTCAGCTAATGGATGGTGGCGCTAAGTAGAAACTGCCCACTCGAAATCTGGAATGTAGTCCAAAGTCTCTACATTATAAACAAACAAACCTGACACTTCACAAAATATTTGTATATATTGTTACCTCCCTAAATTCTACTTCCAGATTATTTACTGGAACCACAGATCAGTGTTATGAATACTTCAGGCATGTAGTTCTAAACTTAACAGGTTTTTGCAGACACCAGGAAGCTTTACAATAATTGCAGCTGAAGCATCAAAGCAAGGAGCCAAGCTGAGGCAAATCTGCAAAGACAAAAAAGCCTTTCCCGGGTTAAACCAGAGATTTGTGTGCTCTCTCTTACAGACACCTGTTTCTTCCCCAAACAAGCCTCAAGAACCAACAAAGAAGAAAAACATGGAGGAAATCTTCAAAGGGATGAGTATGGAGGGAACGCTACAGCATAAATACCAAACCTTTAGTTTACTAAAGCTATCAGTAGTCCAGGCACTATTTTATGAGAGTTTCAAATAAAAGGCATTAAACTAGATTGAGATTTTTAAAGGGTTAATGCTCTCAGCTTTCATCAACTTTGAAAAGCATTCCTACTTTCATTAAAAGCTAGGATTGTGGTATCAAACTCCGTAAAAAAAAAAAATTGCTTTACTAAATGATTTCTTTACAATAAACTCTAGTTTACTGCATCAACATCGAACTGCTCATTAGTCTCCATTTCACTGACCTGTTATTTTGATGATCTCTAGACAACACAGGTGAAAGGCTCAAGAATCATATTAAACACAGAACTACATCAAGTTACAAACTGAAGCAATCTCAATTAATTACTATAATTAATTAAATCTGCAATATCTTTAAAATATATTATTTAATAAAACATTTTATTTGAATGAAATGAAAAAAAACCACATTTATTTGCTATCATCATTTTATTCTCTTTTGACTCAATTGCACATCATTATTTCCATACTTTTATCAGACCAGAATTTTAGTCTGCAGTTATCCAAGTGATCTTATTTGCAGTTTTGAAGTACTGGCACAAGATTAGGGTGTTTTTTCCCAATTCTTTGTTCTCCAGGCTGCATAGCTTGGCTAGTCTAAACTCCAATTCAGTGAGTGGGAGATT